CATCCAGTCTGAGAAAGAGGACAAGACAGTAACTGGGAAAGAAGAATGAAAATCATTTTTAGTTCCAAAGATCTGATTTTCATAGTCCTATCATCTCCAACCCCTTTCTTTCCACACCCACGAACACACCCACACCTATAGGTATATATCCCCTCCTGAGCATAGATCTAATCGTATCTGTTCTCTTCAGCACTAATTAGCACCTTCCATATGTATTCCATAAATTCCCATCATTAGCACCTTCCATATTTATTCCAGCTAAAATTATGGAAATGTATAAATATGAACATGCAGCACTGCAGATAATGGGGAAAAAATGATGACATTTTGGGGGGTAAAAAAAAGTTTAAAACAATTTTCATCCCAGGGCTTATCACCCCATTTTAGCGGAGTGGTTATCAAGCATTATATCAAATGATTTGTCTATCATTTATTTCCTACACTTAGGAGGGGTAGGAGTGTTTATCCCCATGGGGGTGGGGATGAGGTTTAAAAGGCAGTCAGCTGGAAGGAACGAAGTAAAAAGTATCCTGGGTAATCCATACACTGGCCAATTAGTCTCTTAATAAATCAAGAGGTGGTTTTGCATTAAGGAATTAGAAGTGTCATTTCCAACTTGTGATTTCTGCAAATATTGGATTCTACCCAAGCTGGATTTATAAGCAGATAAAGCCAGAATTAAATGGAGGCCTGGGAGAACATCACCTATTCTGAATCACTTCCAAATTTCAGTAGCTTAAAAAAAGGTTGGTTGAAACACAGCAGTTTTATTAACCTCTGTGCCCTGGTAAAATACTAGGCAGGAAAATTCAGAATCATGCTAGAATAACAAAACAGCCCATTATGAGAAGAAAAGAGCATATTTACATGCAAAGTTAAACATCACAGGAAATTTTCAGAAATACTCTGGAACTTTAAAAAGGTAATATACAAGACCTATTTTTAAAGCTTTCTCATTTAAGTGTAGGTAAGTATGTTCCATGTGACATATCTGTATTTTTGAAAGAATACCAATGAGAAATAAACTATCATTAATAGTACTTGTAAAGCCAAATATCTCCAAATCTCTTCATTAAAATTAATTTATCCCTAATAGTATTTAAGAGAAGATGTTTAGGCTTTTCACCAACCTCAGTTACGAGAAACATACCACACTGCTTGTGATAAACACTTCAGTTTCACAGAAGAAGCCAAATCTAATCTTAAGGAAAATGAGAGGTTACAGAGGGAGAAGCTGAGGCTTTACTATGGAAAAGTCTAGGCAGGAAACCTTTGTTATACTATGCCCCCTACCATCCAACCACCAGAAACACCAATCACATATCTGGGAGCCTTACTGCTTTTTAAGGCATTTTATCAAGAAGTTTTCATAGATCCTTGGTTAAAATGTGATTGGGCATATAAACAATAAAGGAGATAGAAAATTAAGTCACTGCATACCAAGCTCAAGAATCCCAGAAACCGTAATAAAGCTATGATTTGTCTATCCACCTTTCAGTAATTCAACCTGAAATGTGGCTTACAACTATTCCAAAAAATGAAACCAATCTACCCAGTGTACCATACAAATAAATCCTAAGTGGTTCCAAGACAAGTATAGGCAGTGGGGTTTCACAGTAGCTAATAAGGACCATGCTTTTGAATGAGAGCGGTGTGAGAGGGCCAATGAATTACAACTGTTACCATGTAGACAAAATGTGAGTTGTCACCCAGTTTTTCAAAACGTTGGCATGTGCCTCCTCTCTACACAGTTTTCATTCTCTATTGTGTTTGTGCCTAACTAATTAAAAATTAATGCTACCAGGCCCTACCAATGATGATCAAATACATATTTATTTTAGGATTTTGTTTTCTAAAGACGGGGAAGAAAGAGCAAGGTGGTGCTGTTTAGGATGGTCTCCCCCATACTAGGTTTAGTCAACAGTAGCGAAGATTGACATTCTCATCTCTTAGTCCTCTGGCTTCTATTTTGAAATAGAACATACAGTTAAATGATATATATGCTCTCTATTCCAAACTGGATGCAATTGATTTTAACTGACTAAATTATCTAATCTCTGCCAAGGATTTTATTTCATTAAGAAAATATTAGAGCATCTAAGATCATAAAGCAGACTAAACATAATGCCAAAGGAGTTCTGAGAATGCTCCACAGTGAAAGTTTGATTATTTGCAGATGGAATACAGAAGAAAAAAAATCAGCTCGCAGGCATCAGCCTAACCAATCCTAGTATCACTGCTGCCTACACAGTAGCACAAAGCCAAGAAAATAACTGATCTTCTAAGCCACAACACTTTTTTTTAAAGGTACTAATCACTTTTCTCCCTAGAAAGTAATATTTAACTGCCACCATCCAAAACAAAGGGAAAAGGGGAAATGTTGGTACCACAATAGGCTCTAGTAGGTCAACTGTCACTGCTGACATGATTTGGCTAGTGGTCAAGCATTCCCCAAGGAACTAATTTAAATCAATCTCCTCTGGGCAAGCCAATTGTTTGGTAAGCGCAACAATTGGTGTAGAATCAATCAGTGAACATGAGATCAATTAAAACCAGCTTAAGTTTGTGAAGAGGGACAATTCACACAACCTGAGTTAGATCTCTATTCATTTCAATACTCTCACAATGCAATCCTTAAGCTTCCTTGCAAAACAGAAAAGCTACTATCGCCCTATGCCGTCTAGCCAGGCCTTCAAGTAGTTCCACTTTTAATTAAAAACACAGTACACCCTTTGTTGGCACAGATAGTGTGGTCACTTTTAAAAACCGTATTTTAGCCAGAAACTTGGAATTTGGGAAGGGACATCTGTTGGGGGGGGGGGAATGCAAACTTTGATAAAAAAATTTTTCTTTACAGCCTTACCAATTTACACATAGTTGAAAGCAGTTGAATTTTATTAAATCGAAAGGTTGGTTTGGCAAAAGTTACTATTGCACACTTTAGAATTGGGTTTCTAAGTGTCAGCACTTGGGGCTGTGGAGGGTAATTGCTAGGAGATTTTGCCAAAGCAGCTTTGAAATGAATAGGTTTTGCGTCAGATACCTAAGAGGGCACAGGGCCAACTTGAGAGATGGCACTGCCGGGAAGAGCCTGCAATACCGCTTCTGGCCGCGGGGGTGCTGTAATGTCCTCTCTCAAACAGCACCGCGGGGTGAAGTCCTCCCAAAACACTAGGTTAGATACCTCCTCGCTCGGCCACAGTGGGACAGGCAGCGGGGACAGAAAGACCTCACGGAATTGGTCATCTAATAAACAACTGCTTAGCAAGGCGTCTTAGGAACTTCTCTGCGCGAACTTTAAGCATCTCCGTTTTGTTTTGTTTTTTTCCCAAGTAGACAGCACCTTGTGCCGGTAAGAGGGGCTAAAGCCTCTCCAGACACTTTTGACCACAGTGTAACCAAAAATTGCCAGATCTGCGAGTAACACCTCAAAAGAAAATACCAGGTGGAGAAAGGAGGAGTGGAGGAGGAGTGGAGAAGGAGATGGAAAGGGACGTTTTCAGGACGAACATCAGTACTAAACTTTCGCGGCCTCTGGGAAGAAATTTCTCCCTAGCATTTTTCTGCGAAACTATTTCTGAATATTTTCCGAATGCCAGGAATGAGAAAAAGAGAAAAGAGCAGACTTTTTAAAAAACCAGATCCGTAGCGTCAACTGGAGAGCAGAGGTTAAGGAAGTCGCACACCACCGGTTATCCGAGCTCTGCCCTCGGGCCCGCCAATCTCCAGCCCTCGGGGTATGTGGCAACAGCTTAAGGACGTCCTAAAAAGCAATGAAAAGTTAGGGCGCGAAGAGCTCTCTCCAAAATCCGGGTGCAGGACCGGAGATGCCATAAAACAAGTTCTAAACATATATCACAGGTCAAGTGCGACGTTTACATCCCAGAAAAAAAAAAAAATCAAAATCTGTTAACTTCAAGACAAATTCTAACCGTGCAGAAGTCCAAATTGCTAGACGAAAACAGAGTTCTAACGGGGGGGCTGCTGGGCACCTTCCATGCGCCGGGTAATGCACGGACGGGGTGTGTGTGTGTGTTGGGGTTGTGTTTAAATCCCCCCAGAAGACTTCATTGTGTCTAGCAGCCCTTCCCCTAAAATGCAGCTGGATTAGGTGCAACCACAGCAGGACTCAGAAATAGGCGCACAGTATATCTGCCGGAAAGCCAGCCCTCTGAAATCTTTCTGGAGACTTCCACTTGCCTTCCCCGCAGAGCACACAAGTGATGGAGATTGAGGGAGCGGTTAAAAAGCCTCAAGTGAATTTCATTAAGAGCAGAAACAGCTACTTTTGAGGGAAGTATATGGAGATAGCAAAGTCAGGCCTGTCCCCAAAACATCACTCCGCGCGCCAGCGCTCCCCAGAAAACCCGCGTACAAGTTGCTGCTCAAAGCATAAAGTTCAATAAATCATCCCACGTAGTCTTAGGTTCCAGAAAAAGAGATCAGTTTTGCCCTTTCCCTGTAAATGTAGGTCCTCCCCCCTTGACTTGGTACCCCTCCTCAGCACGCTCTCGCGCGCTCGAGCGCTCTCTCGCTCTCTCACACACACACACAGCTCTAGGCCGTGTTAAAGCTATCTGGGGCGCACGTGGGTGGGGAAGGTAGACACAGATGAGCTACAGGGGAGATGGTTAAGAGGACTAAAAAGAGAGAAAGACAAGAACAAGAAACGATGGATGCCCGATTAGAAAGGAGAGCGAAAGAGAGGAGTTCGGGAGTAGAAGCGGGGCAGCGAACCGGGTACGACCACACCACTTAGCCCTGAGCGCCCGCCGGGCTCACCCGGCTCTCCAGCACGTCTCGCTCCGGCTCGCAGCGCCTTCTGAGGACAGAAAAGACGGCGTCCTGCCGAGCTCAGGGGCCCAGAAAGTGTAGAGCGGTGGCGCGCGCGAGCGGGGTGGAGGGCACGGTCTGCCCAGCGGAGCCCCGGGCGCCCCGGCACGAGAGCCGCGACCCGCCCCCACTCCGACCCCACGCACCTCGGGCGGAGCAGGACTCACCTCGCTTACTGCGTCTCCATCGGTTGCCTTGGCAGTGGCTGTAATCCATACAATTCAGGATGATGAGGGCAAAGGAGAAGAGGCGAAACTGCATCTGGGCGGTCGGGCGGGGCAGAGGCGCGTCTCAAAGTCGGGGAACTGGATAGCTCATCCGAGGAGCCGGCGCCCACCGCGCTGCCAGGGAAGACGCAGAGGGCGAGTGGCCACTAGCCGGGGCCCCCCCTCCCCCGCACTAGTCAGTTCGGCGCGGTCAGTATCTCTCAAACCTTGAACCTGAGAGACAAGGAGGAGAAACAGAGTGGAGAGCGCCCGGGGAAGACAGCCGCCTCTTCGCGCGTCCCAATTTAAGGAGGGGAGGGAGGGGGGCGCGAACCCACCGCTTGGCACGAGCCGCGGGGCAGTTTAACCCCGAGCGCACAGCTGCGGGCGACTTGGAGCGAAAGGTGATTTACAATCAGTGAATTAGCAACCCCTGCCGAGCTGCGGGCTCCGACCCGGGGGAAAGGGCGTTGCGCGGCCGGCCCAGGGAAAGGAAAGCGCTCCAAAGGCACCAGGGGCGCAGGGTTCAAGGAGCCGCCCTCGGCCCTCGGGTCCCACGGTGGGGCAAGCCAGCGCCGTGGCCGCGGTGGCCAGACGCGGGTCGCCTACCGTGGCACTTACGTCTCGGACGGCGCGGCGTGCCTAGGCGCTGCGCTCCCTGCGGGGCCGGGGAAGCGAGACGCCTCGCTAGCACGTGGGCTCGGGAAAAGTTTGCCGAGAGGCGCGGGGAGCGCCCGGCAGCTCCGCGATTCCGGCGGCCACCGCGGGTTCGCAGTGCTCTCACGGTCCTCTGGGCTGGCGGTGCCTCGCAGGAGCGCGGCGGAGAGGGCGCGTCAGCAGCCTCGGGGATGCTGCGTCCCCGCCGGTGAGTGCGCTCCTCGGGCGACCGGCACGGCCAACTCTCACTCTCTAGGTCCCTATCCAATTGTGCGGTTTCCCGGGCTCTACTGCACAGCCACTTCACAGCTAGGATTTCTCCCTTTCCAAGCTGTGGGAGACAGAACGCTCCCGCGAGGCCGTAGGGATGTGGCGAGCGCACTTTCTGACGGAGATGCAGCCCGGCTGAGGCTCGGGATGCTTCTATAAGTAGGTGGTGCTGTGGTCCAAGGCATCTATGTCAGGCTGCCTCGGAGTTCCTGGGTCCTAAAGCCAGAAACCATCGGGTTTCCCTGAGGTCCTAAAGAGCGCTGACAGCTTCCAGCGAGCCCAAACCCAGGCAAATCCCCTCCGGGCTTTCCTGGAGTGCGCGGCTAAACTGACGTGTAGCTGGAAGCCGGGGCGCCCCCGGACAGCGCTGGGCGACGGAGCCCAGCTGACTTCACCCCCAAGGGCTCCGCGGTGGGTTCCAACCCCCTGCCTGACCTTCCTGCAGGAGGATCTGACCGACTGCTGGCTTGTCCTAGACCATCCTTCCTGAGATCCCTTACGGGACTGCTGCTTCTGACAGACTGAGTTTGAACTTGAGCTGCATCCTGAAAGATACCACACCTCTGCCACTTTCTAATTTACATCTCGGCTTTGTTTTATAGGAAGATCTGTTAGCACGGCTGAAATTAAAATGCGCACTCAGTGTAGCGAGTGAAAGGGGTATTTCCAATAGCTTTTGCTTATCCCCAGAAGTGTTGTTTCTTGACTTTGTTTCTTCTCCAGAAAAACTTACAAAAACTTGTGGTCCCTCGCTTACAGGACTCAAGAAATTGGGACCTTGCTTCTTTAAAGAAAAGTTCACTTTCCATGAAGTATTTCTCAGCCATAATCCTCATCTCTCCCCCCACTCTAAAGACTCCTGACTTAAACTTCTGGGTGCCCTGGGTTTGGGGACTACTGTTTAACGAAGTGTTACATGACATACACTTGATGCTACCTGATTTTTTTATTTTTTGAACCTACCTAATTTCATTTTGTTGAAATCTGTCCTGCCTTCATTACTGTATGAATGAAAGTATTTACTCCTTAGGCAAAAGATGATGATTATTTTTTTTTTTTACTCCTAACCATGGCAGAATGAATGTTTGTAGATATGACCATATGCTAGTATATCATACCACTTAAATTTCCTTTTCTACGCTTTCAGTTTCAGATGTTCAGAAATTTAGAAACTTGACACAATCCTGTTGAAATAAGACTATTAGAATAGTCATGTTTATTAACTATTCCATTATTGTCTATCCATAACTATTTTTACAGATATCACTATTAAATAACAGTATTTATGTGCTAAGAACTTCAGTGTTATTTCCTTTATGCATGCTTGAGAACATCTAAGATAAATCTGAGTTGAGGTCACCGGTCCCATTTCCTAGATAAGAAAATTCAGCCTCTGAGACTGGCCCACAGGGCACAAATAGAGTTGACAAAACACATTGCAGGAACAGTGGATCTGTTTCTCAGCTTTCAGAGTCTTTGATTTTTATCACAGAATTGGAAGCAACTGGAAACATTTCAACTTAGGGAGTGGCCTAGCATTTAGCCTGATGGCTGGATATTCCAGTAGATATCCCTCCATTATCATAAATACCACTCACAGGATGCACACACCAAATTTATTGCACTTCTAAAGAAGTTAAGTCCGTGGGAGAATAAAGACTTCTCTAAGCCCTCTGCCTTTCTGTACAGCTTTGAGACCCCTTCAAGATCAGTGGTTATCAGTGTCTTTTAGAATATTTATTTTTTTCTTATAAAAATTTTCTTATAAAAATATTTAAGGGCAAAACGAGCACAAGATCAAGTAGATCTAACTCTACCATTAACTACCAGTAACCAGTAGTCACTTTTGGCAATTTCCTGGATCTCGGTTTCCTTGGCAGTATTAAGAAATTAGAACAAGATCTCTTCCATCTCTGCCGTGCTCTGGTTGGCAATTTTCTGTTTCTATCAAGAAGTTTCTGCTTCTATGGGGTCTAACCACTGTAAGGACAAACTCATCTTTGATAGAGTTTCAAGGTAGAAAGATGTCATTCATAGTTAAATTACAGACCCCTTTCAACCTTCTGTCTTCAAAGTTTACTTTCCATAATTTCAATCATTTAGGTTGCACAGCTGGAATTTTTTTAAGCCACAGAGCCTTTTCAGTTTAGTGAACTCCTGGATCAATTTCGTTCAAGAAAAAAAAAAAGAATTTTAACAGCTCCACTTCTGTTGAAGATTGGTTGGTGCTCTTAATACAAGAATGGGCTCTGGGAGAAAAGAAGAGTCTTAATTCCTTTGTTCGTGTGCTTGCTCCTGGTCTGTCTCTGCTTTTTAGAGGATACCACTGAACCTCAAAAATCTGTCACACTTAGTTCTTGGGGTACTTAGAGGCTCACACTTAATCTCTTAGGGGCTACTTTGTTGATAATACAGACTTTTTTTTTTTTTTTGGTGCCATTCACTGAATATTTTTCCTGATCTCAAGAACCCAGGAATGTTCTTGCTACTAAAAAATACAGCCCAAGCAGATCCTAAACTATCATTAACTTTAATCCCATATTTCTGCTTCCTTTCATTTCTAAACTCTGAATGTGTTGTTGTTGAGCCTCACAGCTCACAGTTTCTCCATCTTGGAGACTCAGTGGACTTTTTCTTCAAACTGAGTTTAGATGGTGGTTTCATTAAACTAGCTTTATAAATAGATATGTGCCTGGTGTCTGTTTACAGAGAAACACACTGGTGAGATTGACTTCATACCACTCATTGGTGATAGAGAAGGTCAAGTGAGGGCAGGGTTGGGAAATGATGTTATAGATGGAAGGCAACTTGAGTACTTTACTTTCTGACTTGTAACTCATTGATACAGCTAAAATTCAATCCTTAATTAAGAAGATGCAAGGAAAAGTCTCTCCCCCAGCCAGCCAATTCCCCTAAGAGACTACCAGTTATCTGGATGTAACTTTTCAGTTTTTGAGTATACTTCCAGAGATATGCTGTGCTTATCAAGAAAATGTGTGTGTGTATGTCTATATACATACTATATTCAATATATTCTTCCCCTGTCTTTTATGCAACTAGGAGAAAACTGTATTCACTAATCTGCACCTTGATTTTTTTTTATGCATCTTAAAGTTCATTTGGTATCAGCTCATAAAAAACTTCCCTGTTCTTTTTACACAATCACATATCATTTCATTGTATGGTTGTATTTAACTAGCTCCCTACCAAAAGACATTTAAGTTGTCTTCATCTTTTTCTGTTATAAGCAATGCTTCAGTTAACCTTTTCATGGTTCATTTTACCTTTGTGTGATAGATTCCTAAAAGTAGCAAAATTGGATCAAACAGTTGGGTATGTGTGTGTGTGCATTCTTAAAGTTGCCTCCCACAGAGGTTCTATCAAACTACAGTGTATAAAAACGCCCATCTTATATGCTGGCCAACATGTTCTCATACTTGATACTCCTAGGCAAATAGTGATACCTCAATAGTTTCAATGTTTATTTCTCTTAAATAAAATTATGTTTTTAATATGCTCAAGCTATTTTGATTTCCTTTTCCATGAACCCTCCAAAGGTATCGTTTACCTCTTCTATGTTCTTGGTCCTTTATTTTTGCTTTGAAGAATATATACACACATATGTATATATGTATATATATGCACATACACACATATAATATTGTGATTTTTGTTGCAAATGTTTTCTTAACTTTATGATTTTTGTCTTTGTTTTTAATGTGTATAATTACTATGCTGCAAATTTTTAAAATATTTTTATGTAGTTAAATTTGTCAGTGTTCTCTTGTATAGACTTCTGTTTGTGTCATACTTGTAAAAGCTCTTCCCCATGCCATTCTTCTTAAATTTTCATTTGGGAGTTTTCTAATCCATTTTTTGATGTTAAAAACCATAAGATATTAGTGATATTATGACTGCATGATGTGGCTACATTATAACAGATTTAAAATTTTCTGAACCTTTCTTATTTATATTTACAGATTTGGTAGACTTTGGCTCTGACTCTCATTTTCATTAGCTAATGGACTTAGAGTTCCTTATCTTTTATGCTATCAGATATTCATATTCTCAGATCTAAATTTCACACTATTTTGTAACTCATTGTTGAAATTTGTTGATGTTGTACTTGCCCTTCCGGTCTAGAAATTATCCATTAATTACCACAAAACAAATTATGGCATTTTTGCCATTGTATCAATATGGGTAGTATAATTTTTTTCCTGTTAAATGTAAGCTGAATATTTTGCTAGTTGTATGTGATAGCCTATGTTCATTTATTATATTGTGTATGAAATAATTAAATTAGTTAATATGAAAGATCTTCACAAGGTCACTGACCAGTCCTTATCCAAGCTAATTTGTTGTTTTTAAAAGCCACACCATAATCACTTATTTAACATTTGAAAAATGTGTAAATATTTGACTTCTCCAAATGTTAATACAATGTTCTGCCACTTGAGAACTCGTCTGTAGACTGATGTGATAAGGCTTATTTCTCATTTTGCTCTCCATCCTCATGGAAGAGATCCAGGAGGCTCTCTTCAAAGGAAGTCCAACTCAGACCAGCTCATAAGAGAAAAACTCAAGATTTGATCTGACATTTTACAATTATTTCCTTTATTTAATCTTGTGTGCTCCGAACGCTTTTGAACTAAAGTAAAATGTGTCATTTCCATTCTTTTCTGTGTGAATGTGGTTGCTGGAAGGAAGTGTTACTACACTTGGTTAATGACAAGAGACACAAAATGATTCCCAGCTATTTTAAGACTTAGACTCAGTTTCATAAATGTGAAGAGAATGTTTTTTTTTTTTTTTTTAAAGATTTTATTTATCTATTTGAGAGAGAGAATGAGAGACAGAGAGCATGAGAGGGAGGAGGGTCAGAGGGAGAAGCAGACTCCCCGCCAGGCAGGGAGCCCGATGCGGGACTCGATCCCGGGACTCCAGGATCATGACCTGAGCTGAAGGCAGTCGCTTAACCAACTGAGCCACCCAGGCGCCCTGAAGAGAATGCTTTATTTGACACTCAATTAGCCATGCTAATTGGGATAAACAATAGAACAGGTAATCTCTGAAAGCAGGAAATACCCTTCCCAGAACTCTTTTCAGAACAAGTATCTGAAATAGATACACCTCTCCTAAGCAATTGGTTTGTCTTTAACTTACAATTATAATGAATTGCATTACTGTGCAAGAACAAATTTGTGGCTTACCATCAGCAAGTGTACAAGACAGGCAAGCACTCTATGCACTAGTCTCATTTCTTGCTCCATTTTGTTTCTAGTCTTATTTTCCCTTTGCTGTGTTTTTCTCACTTAATTTAGTATACTTACTTTGCAGTATTACATGCATCTTTATAAGCCACTTTTTTTAAAGATTTTATTTATTTGACAGAGAGAGAGAGAGCACAAGCAGGGGGAACAGTAGGCAGAGGGAGAGGGAGAAACAGGCTCCGCACTGAGCAGGGAGTCCGACTTCAACTACCCAACTACGTGAGGCTCCATCCCAGGACCCCAGGATCATAATCTGAGCAGAAGGCAGATGCTTAACCAATGCACCAACCAGGCCCCCCTTTATAAGCCACTTTAACTTTGAAACAATTTAGAAAATTTAAAAATAATAATACATACATTATATACATGATAATACAAAAATATATACACAGGTCAGAGAACCAATGTGGGGGTTCTTCTAGTTGCTGTGTATATCTGCTCGAACTATTCATTCCAGAATAGGAAATATCCATGGTGTGAATCTGGGGACACACTAGGCCCATTGGGAGATGGACCCAAGCCAAAATGCCATTAATTACCCAGTCTTCATAAGCCCCTTCTCTTGACATTTTATTTTATTTCATTTTTTATTTTATTTTGTTTCAATTCAATTAACATATAGTGTATCATTATCTGTTGACATTTAGGTGTTAATAATTTAATGTTAGTCCCCCAAAACACAGTCATCTGAGTAAATGGCCCTCGGTCCTTTTGGGGAAGGCCAGGAGACAGACTCACAGTGAGGATTCTTGCTCAAGAGACCTGACCTCCTCTACATTCAGGGAGCTCTGGGGCTGTGAAATGGCTCAAGTCTGGGATTGGTTAAGGGACTGTGACTCTGTATTGTGGTGACTCAAGTTCAGTTTCTGTAAGCCAGACCTAAAGGTTCTCTGTTATACAAATCAAGTAAGACTTTCTTAGTCTGCCTATCTATTTCAGTCCTAGGGAAAAAGTAAGTTATAAATGCCAGCTACAATCACATGACTAGTTGCAAAAACAGAGTAATAAGCACTTCTTCCTTGATTGGATATGAATATCAAATATCAATATTTTGTCATCTCTTATTCCTCTGCTATCTAACATGTGTAAATTGTGTCAACCTTGTATCATAGTATTAAACCACAAAATATGAAATAATGAGTGTGACTCAGCTAAAAGAATGACTATCACCCCAAGATGAATAAAGGGGGGCACCTGGGTGGCCCAGTCATTAAGCATCTGCCTTCGACTCAGGTCATGGTCCCAGGGTCCTGGGATCGAGCCTCGCATCGGACTCCCTGCTCGGCGGGAAGCCTGCTTCTCCCTCTCCCACTCCCCCTGCTTGTGTTCCCTCTCTTGTTGTGTCTCTCTCTGTCAAATAAATAAAATCTTAAAAAAAAAAAAAAGATGAATAAAGGAACATGTGAGACTTTGTGTATCCTCTTTTGGGAAGAAAGTCACTATGTTTCTGCATGGGTAGGTGTGCCATGTTCTGTGGAAGTATAAATTTGCTTTTGTCTTCATCTGGGCGTTAAATGTGGTCAGTAGAGGTGTGTGGATGCCAGATTGTCAAGAGAATGGGTTATTTTGTTTGTTTGTTTGTACTGTCACCGGGGTTAAGTTGGGAACAGTATTTCCCAAATCCCCTGTCATGTAATGATTTTGAGTTAGAGCTGCCTAAAAGAGGAATCTACATGAGATTTGGGGGACAGAAATAAAATGGTGGCCAAGACTTTCTGAAGGTCTTTTTATATGATATGGACAGAAGCTGAGGGACACAGGGGGTACCAGCTTGAAACTCACTTTTCTACATATAGCCCTTCTTCCTCCTGCTGGTGGCTCTGCTGACCCAGAGACCCTAGGCCCATGACTACACAACTAGCTGAAGGGACAATAGATTTCCAGAGACCTCTCCACAAATTCCCCTTTGCCATTGCACTGTGGTGGCTGGGCACGCTTGGCTTGTCAGATACATTAGTGACTCCTCTGATCTTCCAATTCCCCTTCCAGATCTTTATTTCCTCAGTTTCTCTCACAATTGTGTGAGATCTAACTTCTATAATAACTCCACCTGTAACACCCAGTGAATCTGCTCTCCTGACTGAACCATGGCCGACATAAATATTATCTCTGGATTTTCCATGATAAAAAAAAAAAAAAGAGAGAGAGAACTTACTCCCTTTTTCTCTTGTTTCTTCCCTACACACCATCCCCCCCATCTTTCAAGTATGGTTAGATCAATATTGAGTGGTCATGTTATTATGACTGATGTTATTCAGAGCCATGTCATGCAGTGAACTGTAACTACGGTTACTTTCCTGTGCAACTTTTTGTTTTCTCTGGAATTATCATTACCTTGTTTTCTCTTCTGTAGAGTTTTCTGTGACTTCCCAGAAATTTGATGCAAACATGCTTTTGGTGTTCTTAATCACTTCTTAATATGTTTATTCATACCAAGCAGACCATCAATTTCATCTTCTTAAAGTTCCTCTTGAAGGCTCTGGCATGCTTCATCTGAACCGGTTACCCTTTGGGCCGGATACATGGTTGTCATTCTGGGATGTCCTCTCACTATCTTCCTGGGAATTCCCTTTCCCTCTCACCTCTGGTGGGTTTTATGTTTCCTGTGTCCCACGTCTTCCTCTTTCCTAGTTAATCCTTCACTGTGGTGAAAGACATTCTCCAAGAGTTTCTGGAAAAAATTCGTATAGGAGTACATTTTTTGAGACTCTGTATATCTAAAAATGTCCCTATTCTACCCTCACAACTGGTTACTTGGCTGAATATAAAATATTAGACTGAGATTATTTTTCTTCAGTAGTTTGGAGACATTACTCTGCTGTCTTTTACCTTCCAATATCACTTTGACAAGGCCAAAGCCATTCTAATCACTGATTCTTTTTTATGTTCCTGTCTGTAGTCCCCTCCCAGAAGCTTGGAGGTCTAAAATTTCATTGTCAGTACTCTGTTGTGGATCTTTTTCATTATTCTTGCTGGAGGTCTGATGGCCCTTTAAACCTGCAAATTCGCACCCTTCTGTTCTATAACTGATCTTTGGTTCTTTTGTTGGATGATCTCTCTCTCCCCATACACATTTTCTCCCCCCCGCCTTTTTTTTTTTTTTTTTTTTGGAATACCTGCTATTGTCCAAATATTGAACATTTGAGTGGTCTTTTAATTTTCCTATATTTCCTCTCCTATTTTTCATTTCTCTGTCTTTTTTCTCTACTTTCTGGAACATGGCCTCAACTTTATCCTTCAAGTCATTTAAAGAATTTTCCATTGCCCTTTTAATTTTTTTAATTATAAGAGCTCTCTCTTTTTGAAATTTTCTTTGTGGTACCCTAGTCTTGTTTATTCCAGTTGCTTTTCTCTGTGTTTATTTTGGTCTTTATCTTTCATCTTTAAGGATTTTCTTGATATTCCACCATTCTTGGCTATTTGCTTATATTTTAAAATGAGAGATTAAAAAGCTGATTTAAAAAAATTCATCACTTGGGTGATGCTTGTCAACTTGAGATTTACTATACAGGAAAAATGGACCAGAAGTAAACTGACTGAGACATTTTGTGAAAGAAATCAAAATATAATCTATTTAATTATTCTCACTAGGGTTGGTCAGATTTCCCAGAGAAAAGTTCCCTAATATTCTACGAAGAGGGAGGGTTGGGGGTTAGGCAGTTGTCTTTATTCCTCCTTTCTTTGAGAATTTTTCCCTCTTTTAGATAAAATACTTTACCTTAGATTTAGTAAGGTTTCAGGAGAGTGCAAAATTAAAGGCATAAAAGTATCCTACTGTTATTTTTCTCCATATGTTCTTTTATTCACTCAACAAATAATATTGAAGTCCTATATGTTGACACTGTGATGGATGCTGAGGATACAGTAGTAAGAAAGGAAGACTAGATCACAACCTTTATGGAGCTTATATCTTACATAGATAATTACTGGGAAGGGATAAACAATAAAAAGTCAATAAATAAACAAGAGATTGTCTTTGCTTCCCAAAGTGTTTACATGATTTTTGTACTTTTTATTTTGATGCAATTTCCAAAAAACCCCAAATACCCTTTTCCAAGTATCACCAATTATTTAAATTTTACTACATTTGTTTTATCATTCACTTTATCTCTACAGCTATATGTATTTTTTTTGAAACCAGTGATGAGTAAGTTTTAAATATGGTCCATTTGGGGCGCCTGGGTGGCTCAGTTGGTTGGGTGGCTGCCTTCGGCTCAGGTCATGATCCTGGAGTCCCGGGATCGAGTCCCACGTCAGGCTCCCTGCTCAGCAGGGAGTCTCCTTCTCCCTCTGACCCTCCTCCCTCTCATGCTCTCTGTCCCTCATTCTCTCTCTCCCAAATAAATAAAATCTTAAAAAAAAAAAAAATAAAAAATAAATAAATAAATAAATAAATAAATATGGTCCATTATTCCTAAATACTCTAGTGTATACTTCCTGAGAGCAAGAACATCTACTTATATAACCTCGACATTATCAAAATTAGGAAAGTTAACATTGATGTAATATCATTATCTCACTCACAGCCTATATGCAAATGTTCTCAGTTGTCTAATACGCCCTTTATAGCTACTTGTTCCTCAGGCCAGGAGGGAATCCAGGATCACATACTACATTTAGCTGTCATGCCTCACTGTTCTCTTTAATGTGAAACTTCTTTGTCATCTATGGTCTAGATATTTTTGAAAAACAGTCAACTTTTTTTTAATGTCCCTTGGTTTGGATTTGTCTGATATTTCCTCATAACTAGATTCAGCTTATGCCCTTTTTAGGAGGAATACTATAAAATTAATGCTGTGGCCTTATCAGGGCATCATATCAAGAGGAACATGATACTGATCTGTCCCATTACCCATTACTTGGCTAAGATATTGTCTGTCAGGATCTTACATGGTAAAGTCACTATTTTTCCTTTTGATATTAATGATTCATTTATGAAATTTTGGGACTATATAAATATTTTCTCCCTCACCAAATGTTCACTCACTATTTTTGTCATCCCTTAATGATTCTTGTCCAAATCAATTATTACTCTGACAATTGCTAAATGGTGACTTCCTCAATACATTATTTCTTCTACATTTATTAGTTGTTTGTCTATTATAAGAGAAAGCTTTCTCTTCTCCCTGATCAATTGATTAATATCAGTATGGACCCATGGATTCTTATTTTGTTCAATGGTATTACTATATTTATTCTGATTCTCAATTTGTCCCAGATTTGGCCTGTGGGAGAATCTTAAGCTGGGTTCTGTGTCCTTTTTACATGTTCCAACATTCTTTAAGTATTTTTTCAATTTTAGGCACAACCATAACTTCCAGACTTATCTTGTGTTTTCCCTGTTCCAGCCCTGCAATGAACCTTTTCTCCAAAAATCCCTGGTTCTATTTAGTGGAGAATTATATTTGGAAACCAAGGTCTGGGTGCTGGATTTATGCAATGCAAGGAGTATCATAGCTTCTAGTTTTTCTCGGCATCAGAGTTAAAACCGTGAGTGAGTTCTTTATGTACACTCCCATTCCAATCTAACAACACAGTTTATTCTCGCCTCCCCCCTTTCCTTGCTTGTAACTTGCTCTGCAACAGTGATAAATGTAAATTGGAAATAAATATAAAAGCAATTACTGGTGTTGTGTGAGTATCAAGAAAGGCTTTACAGAGATGTTGATATATGATCTTGGTTTTGAAGGCTGAATAGGAGTTTATCAGGGAAGCAAGAAAGGGCATTTGAGTCAAAAGTGATAGAAAACAGAGACATAAAGGGAAATAGTTGTCTAATAAACCAGTTGTTACTGGGGTAGGGTATGGAGAGAGGGACAGAAGATGAAGGTTTAAACTGGCAAAGTGAATTGCAGACAGATTGTAGGTGAATGGACTTCCATGGTAAGAAAAAGGAATTTTATCAGTATTAAGTGAGGATTTTTTTTTTTTTAAGTAGGAGATGTAACATATTCAGTTCTACTTTAGAAAGATAATTATTTCAGCAATAAAGCACTGGAGGGAAACCAGTTCAGAAGGTAATTATTATACATATATTTCATCATATCTGGTATATGACTATATTATATATGCTATATTTATACACACACAGTTGATTTTCATGGTAGTTGTGTTCTATAAAGTTTCCATGAACACTAAACCATTGTTCCTAGGAGAAATACAGTATTCGGTTCCTGAAAGCCTCTGGTCACATTTTATCAACCAATCAATACACAACCCTGTTTTATGTGTGTTTCTGTTTAAAGACACTTTATTTAATATCTATTGTTAAGTCATTAACATGAAATTCACAGCAATAGCACTAGAACTCACACCTGAATGATGTGTAACTAACACATGTATTTTCTTCATGAGACATTACAGCTTTCTTGCATCAGGGACACTAGACAGCACTTCAACTATATGCTTGGCACCCATTAGAAACAGTGAAATCACCATCAGAAAATTCCCCAAATATGAAAAATCGGTACTAGACTGCAAAAAGATACTTGTTCACAGTAGTAGAGCTACAACAAGAAGGCAGAGTATCACCTTGTTCAACCTCATCTGGGCACATGCACATCAGATGACTTTCATTTTTTGCCACTCTGCATATCCACAAATGTGTAAGTGCCAAGAATATTGATTTTGAGGTTACAAACAAATGTTCGTGAGTAGGCAAATTTGCAAATACAGAATCAACAAACAGCAAGTATCATCCATATATACATACATACCTATGTATGAAACTAGGCCCATGCAATGTTGGGGGAAACAGCAAGGAAAGATTGGTCAGTTAAATGTGGCAATAGGGAGAGGTAGAAGGCAAGGATGATGCTGGAGTTTCTATTTAGGAAAACTGGGTAAATGTTAGCAATATTACCAAAAAATATAATCCCAGGGGCGCCTGTGTGGCTCAGTGGTTAAGCATCTGCCTTCGGCTCAGGTCATGATCCCAGGGTCCTGGGATCGAGCCCTGCATCAGGCTCTCTGCTCCGCAGGAAGCCTGCTTCTCTCTCCCACTCTCCCTGCTTGTGTTCCCTCTCCTGCTGTGTCTCTCTCTGTCAAATAAATAAATAAAATATTTAAAAATATATATATATAATCCCAACAAAAGAGTCTGGAGGAGAAAGAGTACAATTTTGTAAATGTTAAATTTTAAAACATGGACAACATCCTGGGAGAGCCAGCAGGTGATCAGTGATGACATGGAACTGGAACACTTTACAAAGGCCAGAGCTAGAGAGAAAATCTGATTATCAGGTACACAGAATACATTTGAAACCAAAGGAATAGAAGAGATCGCCAGGGTAAGGAAACAAAAATGCAAAGAGCAAACCTTGAAAAAAAATGAAATGTAAGGTATGCAGAGGAAGAGAACCAATGAACAAACCAAGGAGAAAATTGGGGGGAGGGGATCAAATCTAAGGGGATTACAAGAATAATAACAAGGCTAGTAAATGTTCCTGAAGAAGGAGAGGAAGTAAAGGAAATATGTATGCAAACATGTATGTAATACAATTCTAAATAGGCAAAATTATTTGAGTATTTCATACCCCTCACCTGTATCACACTGTAATTTTTATCATGCTTTCAGATGGTAGAAATAATTTAAAATTGGAAAGATAGATGTCCCAAAAGTACACCAGAGTCCAAATGGACCAAGATGACAGTATTTGGGAGGAATCAGAA